AATCTAACTCACAGACAACCTATCATTATAAAGACCTAAAATAAATGAAGAGACACAAGATAAATGATGGAAAAAAAAAACAAAAAAAAAAACTCTTAACATTTATAACGAATCAGAATTAGGTCAACTGGACTCACTGTTGTGCTGCTGTTTGAGATTTCTGCAGCTGTCAGCAGTCGAGGAGGCTCAGGTGGAGCAGCTGAAGGTTGTTTTGATGCTTGTTCTTGCACCTTTCCTCTTGACATAGCTGCAGTGTTGCTTTCTAAACTTGCCATCTTTTCGGTTATGTTGCTGGACTTGGCTTCGTACTGGATTTCTGGATTTGGACTGAGGATGAGCGCAGGTTTAGACCTGGAGGCCGGGCTGAGGCTGGGGAGGCGTTTGAGTTTGGGGTAACCTGCTGGAAGAGGGAAGGCGCTGCTCTTGGGTTTAGGGCGAGGTTTGAAGCTAGGAATGGTAGGTGGGCAAGATGAAGCTGACAAAGAGAAAACAGAAGAAGAAGAAGAAGAAGAAGAAGAAGTACAAAACGTGGTTGGGGTCTTCTTCCCAAAAGCAGGTAAGGTCACCCGCCCTCTTTCCTCCCCTCCTCCAATCAGCTGCTGTCCCTGTTTCTGCGCTCTCAGGAGGGCCACGTTGATACGACGCGATGGACACTTGTTCTTGAAGATGGGAACCAGTTTGGGAGGAGGAAGCACTGGGGTTTGAGTCGGGGGAGGAAGAGGGGGGAACAAAGAGGGGGACGAGGTGAAGGAGGAGGAGGTGAGGGAGGAGGCTGGCTGGAAAACTGAGAAAAAAGAGGCAGAGGAGGAGAGTGAAGGAGCTGACTGATGTCTCGAGGAGTCAGAAGAGGAGGAAACACCACATGAGGAGGAGGAGGGCCAATGTTGATCTTCTTGATACCCTTGACTTTGTGTCAGTCTGCCAGTCTCCCTGAATCCACATCCATTACCCAGAATCCTCTGCACTCCGTCCTGCTGGGTGAGAGGCACTCGGCCTGGAGGTTGAGAACTGAATGAGCGCTTCAGAGGCCGGGGGGGAAGAGGAGGAGGAGGAGGGAGCTGAGTGAGGACAGGCCTGATGGAGCAGGAGGAGGTGAGATTCACCTGCTCACCATTCAACACCTGAAGGAGAAGAAGAGAAGAACCTAAACCTTCTTCACAGCAACTTTAGAAACATGAGCTTTTTTTTGGACTGACGGTGTAGCCGTAAAAGGATGATATCATCAGTTTAATTATCATCTGGGGCAGGGGGGGTGTTTAAGATCTGCATTTAAGATCAATGAACTAGTAGGTGATCGATCTCGCTCACTCTGTACACCTTAAAATGTAGCAGGTCTGTCATCTCTGCAGCTGACCAGAGAGAGAAAAAGAGAGAGACATCCATTCCTCCCCACACGAGGCTCACCTGTTGTGATAACGGAGTGGCAAGGGAAAACTTTTTTCAACGGGACTTTTGCTGTGTTGAACAGAGAGCCAAAGGCTCAGTGAAGAAAAGAAAAAGTATTTTGCAGATAAGGAACCCACAGTTTTCAAATCACCGCGCAAGAAAAATGTTGCATGGCATGACAGAAAAAGTTTTACAACCCCTGGCCTAAGTATATATGAACCCTTAGGGCTTACAACACAACAGCCATTTTCTTATTTATTTCCATTTTTTTCACATTTCTGTGTAAAGGTACAACATTATTTTTGAGCTGCTCCGCTACATTGCTTCAGTCTGCAACCGTGAAAAACGCTGTAATGGCTGCATTGTAGATAAAGTTGTGTTTGTCCCCGACCGGCTCTGATTGTTATTCACACCAGACTACATAAACACAGATTTGACTTTCTATGACACGGAGTTATTGATCCAGTGCTGCATTGATCAGGTATTCTACCTTTCTCTCTCTCTCGCTCTCACTGACGGCAGCCGGGGATTGGATATACTACTGTATATGTTTTTTTCTTTTATAACTTAGCCGTAATATTTCAGACTTCATCTTGAAGTTTTCTTTTTTTACAGATGGCTTAAACCCTTCTGAAGCTAAAAAGTCTTCCACGACAACATAAAAGTATCTTTGGAAATGAACTCTGCAGAACACCATCAATATTTTAGTTGCACTCTGAGCGCACTGAATCGATCTTTTGGGATGTTTCACTGTGCAGAGTTTCTGAAGTTGATAAAATACACTTTAGCTTTACCCTGTGAATAAGAAAAGCCCAGAATGAGCTCTGAGGATGAGAAATAACTTAACAGCTGCAGAATGTATTTTTTTAATCTATGGACTGAATATCAGAGCCGCTCAGGGAGGATGAACAAATGTTAAAAACCATTAAAAACTGAGTTTGCCCTTTATTATCCAAAAACAGTCATTTATATGACTTATAACATTTGCTTTTCCATGTGTCTCAGGCTGATTTTTCTTTAAAAGAGACAAACAAGAAACACATTTCCTTCCCCGTCCTGCTGACATCTGTATCATGAAACAGACTCCTCAGTATTCTGGGGGGGGGTTTCTGCACCTCCCTTCTCCTCCTCTTTCTCCTCAGCGTCGCACCTTTACGCTCATAAAACTGTCCATGAAGGTTTTACAGGGTGGGAAACGCTCCGCTAATCACTTTCCCTCCTCCAACTTCAACCTCCACACACGCACATTAAATATCATGCCTGTGAGGGTACGTGTTGTGAGTGTGTGTTTGTGTGGAAAAGACAGAACATGAAAGAATACACACACCGCCTACTATTGTAGATGGACCACAGAAACTGAATACAATCTGTACACGGGGTCTAGATATTCAACATGGTAAGTGTTCTGGTTACTGTTTGTACTACATTTGTAGTCCAAGCTGTATTAACCAATTACCTATCATATCAGCAGGCTTTGGTGTGTGCAGGAGAAAACAGTCGGTGTGGACGGCAAAAGACAGAAGTAACATAACCCTAACGCTAAGGAAATACCAGCTCCCATCGGGGGTGTTTTGATGACGATTCTTTCGCTCTATAAACAGATATCTGCATTAAAGTGCAGTTAACAATTTATCATTGATCAAACATTTCAACTGGAATCTGCTTGATGCTGTGTGGTAAAGGCCAATCAGAGATTCCCTGACAACCTGAAACACATCAGAAGTGACCGATCCCACATCCATTCAACAAACAGTTGTTTTCTTCTCCTCTTGACGACAGACCTGACAAAACTTGACTTTTGACTTTTCACAAATCTGCATCATGATGTTTTTATTTCGGAAAACTTCATTCCTGTTAATAGCAAATAAATCACAGGAAAATTGGTTTCTGTTTTGGTCAGGGCTCATACGGCTGAAGTGAGACAGAGTGAAGCTGCTCTCTAGCTTACTGCGGGATGTTGTGGAGAGAGTTTTGCCTGAATGTCGTTCAATGCCAACCGCTGGTTTAACCAGAATGATGGAGAGTGTTCCCATAGGCAAATATCGTAAATCAGACGATGATAGATGATGAGTACTGATTGGTTCTGAGATTGTCTATCATGCAATGCAACACTTCGGGGGAAATCAACTTAATGGAAGTTAAAATTAAATTATTTTGCGTTTCCATCCAAAGTATAATCAAATTTCCAGTCCCAGGTGCTAGTAGGGCTTTTTGGCAAAAGTAACAATAACAAAGTCAGTTCTCTGGACAATAAAATAGATCATATAGAGCTACTGAGAGCTGCGCACCGCGACGCGAGGGATGGCTGTGCGTACATTTTCACAGAGACATGGCTGAACGAACGCATCCCAGACTCCGCCGTTCAGCTTGAACAATTCACATGCTACCGTTCGGACAGAATCCTTATTAAAGGAGGAAAGAAGAAAGGTGGTGGAGTCTGTGTTTACATCAGTGGTGCTTGGTGTCGAGATGCTGCTGTGGTATGTAAACACTGTTCACCGCTGGCAGAGTTTGGGAACTTTACAACGCCATCAGTGAGCAACAGACAGCCCACCCAGACGGATTTTTCATCATCGCTGGGGATTTTAACCATGCAAATCTCAAGACGGTTTTACCCCACTTCCACCAACACGTGACCTTTCCCACAAGAGAAGGTAACATTCTGGACATGATTTACACATCAGTTAAAGGAGCTTACAAAGCTTCACCCCTCCCCACATCGGCCACTCTGACCATATCAGTGTAATGCTAATGCCAGCTTACAGACCCAGGGTTAAAGTCACCAAACCAGTTCTGAAGCAGGTATGTGTGTGGCCAGAGGGGGCCTCTGCTGCACTACAAGACTGCTTTGACACCACAGACTGGGAGATGTTTCAGCAGGCAGCCACCTACAACAACCACACAGACATTGAGGAGTATTCTGACACTGTTACCTCCTACATAAGCAAATGCATTGCTGATGTCACCACCACCAGAACCATCACCACCCGGGCTAACCAGGAGAGGTACGCGGGCTACTGAGGGCCAGGAACACCGCCTTCAGACTGGGGACGCAGCCTGCCTGAGAACAGCGAGGGCCAACCTGTCCCGTGGCATCAGGGAAGCCAAACGCAGCTACACACTAAAAATAACCGGACACTTCAAGGACATCAGAGCCTGTGGCGTGGTATCCAGACCATCACGGACTACAAACCCAAACCACAGACCTGTGACAGCAACACCTCTCTGCTGAACGACCTCAACAGCTTCTTTGCCAGGTTTGAAGCACACAACAGCACGCCACCACAGAAGACCACCCCCCCTCCCCACGACCAGACCTGATGTGCCTGACTGCAGCCAGCGTGAAGAGAACCTTCTCCAAGATCAACACCCGCAAGGCTGCAGGTCCAGACAACATTCCTGGCCGTGTGCTGAAGGACTGTGCAGAGGAGCTCAAAGATGTCTTCACAGACATTTTCAACGCTTCTCTGAGTCAGGCTGTTGTTCTGTCGTGCTTCAAAGCCGCCACCATCATACCCGTTCCAAAGAAGCCCTCACCATCCACTTTCAATGACCCGTTGCACTGACCCCCATCGCCATGAAGTGCTTTGAAAGGTTAGTCATGGCCCACATCAAATCCACCCTCCCCGCCACCCTGGACCCCTACCAGTTTACATACCGAGGTAACAGATCCACCGAGGATGCCATCTGTTCTGCTGTTCACCCAGCCCTCACCCACCTGGACACCAAAAACTCATACGTCAGGATGCTGTTCATAGACTTCAGTTCAGCATTCAACACCATCATCCCTCAGCAGCTGATCGGCAAACTGGACCAGCTGGGGCTCAGCACTTCCCTGTGCAACTGGCTGCTGGACTTCCTCAGCGAGAGGCCTCAGACAGTGCGGGTCGGCGGCAGCACGTCAAAAACCACCGTCATGAGCACGGGGGCCCCCCAGGGTTGTGTGCTCAGCCCCCTGCTCTTCACGCTGCTGACCCACGACTGCGCTCCATCCTTCAGCAGCAACCACATTGTGAAGTTCGCGGACGACACAACAGTGATTGGTCTCATCTCCAACAACGATGAGACGCACTACAGGATGGAGGTCAGCCAACTGGCCACGTGGTGCAGAGACAACAACCTCTTCCTGAACGTCGACAAGCCCAAGGAGGTTGTTGTCGACTTCCGGAGAGTCCCCACTCCTAAACCCCCACTGACCATCGACGGTGCTGCTGTGGAGAGAGTGAGCAGCAACAAGTTCCTGGGGGTTCACATCAGTGAGGATCTCTCCTGGACAACCAACACCACATCACTGGCCAAGAAGTCCCAGCAGCGCCTCTACTTCCTCCGCAAGCTGAAGAGAGCACAAGCCCCTTCCATCCATCATGTGCTCCTTCTACAGAGGCACCATCGAGAGCATCCTGACCAGCTGCATCACTGTGTGGCTTGGGAGCAGCGCACAGTGAAGGCTGCTGAACGGATTATCGGTGTCCCACTCCCCTCTCTTCTGGACCTCTACGGTACCCGCCTCACCCGCAAAGCAACCAGCATTGTGCGTGACCCCGCCCACCCCTCACACAGCCTCTTCAGCCTCCTGCCAATCGGGGAGACGGTACCGCAGCCTGCGGGCCGGCTCCACCAGTCTGGGAAACAGCTTCTTCCACCAAGCTGTCAGGAAGCTTAACTCTCTCCCCTCTCTTCCTTCCCTCCCCTCTGCCCCCCACAAACACTGGACGTTGAAACCCCCTCCCGTTTGCCACCAAGAACTCTAGACTAATAACTCTGAAGCTAACTATTCAAAAGTACACTCAGTTTACTGCACATTGCACAAGTTTACTTTTTCTTTAAATTTTATTTTATTTATTTTATTTTATTTACCATTTTGTACCTTTAGCACAGTTGTATTGCACCGCGGGACGGAGACAAACACAATTTCGATTCCACTGTATGTCTGGCATATTTTGAAATTGACAGTAAAGTTGACTTTGACTTTCTAAGTCAAATCCACATGTCACACAAGCACCTTTAAAGGCAGGCTGCAAAATGTCAACATGTATATGAAAAAAAAAAAAAAGAAGCTCTTTAGGGGTGCCAGATAGCTTAGCAGATACAGTATGTTGCGCGCCCCATGTACAGAGGCTAGTCATGGTCACAGTGTCCGTCGGTTTCTTTTCAACATAACAAAATACACACAGCTGTGTCTGAGGCGAACATAACACTAACACACATGCTTGACTGACTAAACTACCCAAACACATTCACTTTAGCTTGTTTCCTGAATGTATTCCTTGTGTGTGTGTGTGTGTGTGTGTGTGTGTGCGTGTGTACGAGTGTGTACCTTTACTGTGGCAGCTGTGCACAGTCCGACAGTGCGATAACACGGTTTGTTGGTCAGTCGTGCAGGAAAGCCACACACACTCTGCAGCCGTTCGCTGACGTCAGACAGGAAGGAGCCCAGCGCCCCCTGCAGGCTGACGCGAGGGCAGGGCTGCACAGGCTGAAGGCGGATACAGCTCAGAGGGTAGCTGCTCAGGGTGGAGGTTAAAGCAACAACATCGACATAAAATCATAAATACTTCTGAGAGCAGACCGATTCCAGCCGTTAGGCCCACACACTGCAGCTTTAACTCCATTAGATTTATATTTTAATAATAAACTTCAAAGAAAGAAGTCCAGATTTAAGTCACTCTCATTATTTTCTTATTTATTACGTCTTATTTCTTCAATATTTGAAAGAATAAATACATAAACAAAGAAATAAAAAGGTCCTGCAGGTTATAGTATTTCTTGCCTGAAGGATTTTTTTTTTTGTCAAATCAGATTTAACCGTTACAATAATTCATGACTACTCTAAATTTGGTCAACATTTTTTTCTTATTTTGGAGGTGATCAGTTTAATCACATTAAACAATAAATGTTTATGTTATGAGTTGAGTGTTTCAGGATACGTGAAGAGTCTCTCTCCCACCAGTCTGAAGTAGATGCTGCAGTACACCATCTCTTCGTCTGCGAGCTCAGGGAGTCTGTAACCGTACTGAAAAACACACACGCACACACACACACACACACACACACACACACACACACACACACACACACACACACACACACACACACACACACACACACACACACACACACACACACACACACACACACACACACACACAGACACACAGGTACACACAGACAGACACACACACACACTTTGGGCCTGATTCACAAAAGGATTGTTCTGCTGAACCTGTAGAAATAAGAGGAAATGAAAGCGTGCGATCCACAAAGCACACACAAAGGGTGTGCCTGTCCAAACGCATGTACGGTACATAAATTAGGGAATATTCAAACTTTTCAAATAGTCCCCTTTCTATACAAATAAGCCTTGTTGCAAATACCTTCTTATTCACAAGGACCAGTGCTATGATTAAATAAGCAGCAAAAAAAAAATAAAAAATGTATAAGAATAAGAATGACAAATAAGAAATATGAGTGGTACCAGGTGGTTCCAGTGACTCTGCAGGTCGCTGTAGGTCCTGAAAGGTCCGTCTTTGGGCAACTGGCGGCTGATGGTGATGATCTGACCTTTCTTCATACTAAAAACACACACACACAAACACACACATATATATATGAAATAATAGAATAACATCAGAGTATTAAAAAAGAGAATAAACACTGCCTTTGCTTCTGATTCAGCCTTGTGTTTAAAAGAGCTGCAGCTCCCTCTGCTGCTCAGAGTCAGTATTACACACACTGCTTCTGGCTCATCAGTCTGAATAAAGCATCTTATCTTTGGTGTTGTTTTTACCCAACAAGTCCCAGAATTTTTGGCTCTTAAAAACATCAAAAACAGCACGATCAGCTGAGCAGACACCGGCCTCCCTTCACAGAGGACTCCTGTTAAAAGCATTACCTGTTTTGTTTTGTATTATGTATTACAAAATCAAACAGATAATTAGTTCAATACAATTAGAGGAGACCACATTCTAAAGGATAAGTTAAAGGACTTCCCCATCACCTGTCTTTAATCCCTCGTCTGATGAGAATTTTGCATTTGGTCGTTATAGAATTGAAAATAACCTTTGAACCAAACTGATAAGAGAGGATTGATGAGCTATGGGGGAGTGTGGAATCTGTTTTTGGAAAGGTTAGAGGAAGTAAAGTAAAGAATAAGGTTGAAGAGTTTTAAATGATCCTCATACTCTGCACTCTGCATAAATATTTTATAGAAAAATGTCAAAAATCAAAAGTTGAGCGGTGCAAGCTTCATGCTAACAGGAGAAAAGGATCCTTGTGGTGAGATCAGGGAGGACATGAGGCAGGATGTGACCTCAAATATAGGCTGACTATCAAGTGATCGGAGAAGTATATGTATCCATTATAAAAACAATCCACACAGATAACGGTTTGCTTTGTGTCCAGCAGGTGGAGCTGTCCTACCTGGGCAGGACGTGACACCAGATGGCTCCCCCTGTGGAGGTGGGGTTGAGGACGGAGTCAGGATCACTGCAGAACCTCCTCAGCACTAACAGGGGGAGGTCAAAGTCCTGCAGCTGCACAAAAAGTAAACACACAAACAGTAAATACCCTGATTATCTGGTCGAAGAACATCCAGTGCTTTAAACAGGACTGGGAAAGAAGAGTATGGTTATTTTCTCAAGAGCTACAAACATTTGCTTTGTGAGTTATGTAAATGTGAAAAGTGCAGACAAAAGTCAAAGGGGAGGTCGGTTATTTTTTTTAGGATGTAATGACTTGGTGGTTTAGTGCACAAACTTTGATCAACAAACACTTTTGTCAACTCAACCCCAAAATATGTAAACACATGTCCCAAGATCAAAAATACACAAAATTCATTGAAGAAAAATAACAATATGTGGGGTGTAAGAGAATAAATAGTTGTTGTTCTCTCACTGTGGTTGGAGGCAGTCGGACTGTGTTGGCGTCTATACTGATGCCCAGTTGTCCCTCACTGGTGCTCAGCTCCATGCCTGACACACACAGAAAACATCTCTTATAGGGTTTCAGATCAGATGAATGGTGATTTCAGCACCTCAGGGCGAGTCTCATCCGGTGCCCTACCACTGAGGAGCTTTTTATATTAACAATTATTTTTGGGCTTTTGGTGCCTTTATTGTAGAGATAGGATAGTCGATAAGAGTCAGAGCCACAGGTCGGACTGGAACCCGGGCTGCCTCCCCCAGAGGTCCAAAGCCTCCATACATGGGGCGCGCACCTACCACTATGCTAGCGGCGCCCCGACTGAGGAGCTTTTTAACTACCTCAGCGACCTCTGCCTAGGATATAAAAGAGGGTTCCCCTGGGTCATCAGCTTTCTCATCAGAGGACGTGTTAGTTGGGTTTATGAGTTCCTCAAAGTGTTCCTTCAACCACTCAGCTATATCCCCAGTCCAGGTCAGCAGTTCTCCACTCCTGCTGGGATGACCTGAGCCAATCCCTGCCGTTCCCTCCTGAGTCGCCTGACGGTTTGCAAGAACCTCCTTGAGGCCACCCCAAAGTATTTCTCCTCAGCCTCTCCAAACTCCGAACCTCGAACTGCAGCCCCCCCCGAGCCACCCGATACCTGTCTGCTTCCAGAAACCCTGAGCAAGCCAAGGCCTCAAGCGCTTCGTTCTTCAACCTGACTGCTTCCTCAACCAGCGGGTTCTTAAGTTATCACCTCAGCATGGACCACTCAGACTCCATGTGCCCAACCTCCTCGGAAGGTCAGAGTGTTCACACTGCCGGAGTGAGCAGCTTTGCTGACAGAATAAACAGTAAAATGATATGTAGAGCGATACAGTGACCTTCTATTAGAACATGATATATAATGCAAAGTGATCTTCAAACTGAAGTTCTTCAGTTGTTTTCTTATCAAGTTACTCCTGAGGTAACTTATTGGTTACTTAAAGGCTAGGCTACCTGTTTTATGATTATTATTATTTTACAGTAAAGCGGTGAAACAGGTAGGCTAACCTTTAAGGACACTTAATAATAATAATAATAATAATAATAATAAATATATAATGAATAATGAATAATGAATATATAAACACCAGGTTAACAGTGATGTTTCTTCTGGTATGATCACTCTCTCTCTCTCCCCATCTTCTTTTCTCACTCTCTGCTTGGAGAGATGTTTTGTCCTCTATGTAAAGTGAGGAATTATGTTAGTAAGATTGTTAATTGATGAGCCTAACGCTCGAAACTTGTTTAAAAGAAAACTGAAAGCACCCCTGGATAAGGCACAAAAACAACTTCTAAACATGTAGTCATAAATCACTTTTAATTCAGTCTATATGAATAATTCAATCAAACACAATACTCTCCCTGTTATTCTGATTCATTCGTTGTTTTTGCTCTAAATAAATTACGAGCTCGTCAATAATGTATATGAGATCGTTTTCTGATAAGTACAAAACGGAATCTTGAATAAAGATGCTCTAAATAATCCATGCACGTTGCAAACAGCCGGATAGGTTGAAATACTATTTAATAGAATTCAAGACAAGGAAATGTAACTTATAAAAGAAATGTAAATAAATATACAGTTCAGGGAGACGCAGCTGTCCCACAGTCAACACACAGACAACACACGGCCTGTGTTAACACCATGATGGTACGATCCAGAGCAGTGAGGCACGGCAGCCGTCAAACAGCCAACATGCAGCCAATCGGAAACGGACATTACATCTTAGCGAGTATACTGCTTGATCAAATCACTAACACAAACACACATCCTCTGATAATAACCTGTAAAAGATAAGGAGTGCAAGAGATTAACGAGTCACAGAGAAACTTACTGACAGCGTTGAGCCTCCCCCCGTCAGTCAGAAAGTCTCTTCCTGAGAAGAAAACACAACGTTAAAATAAATATCAACTTCAGAATTTCATGAGCCACAGCTGCAAGAACAGCACCTCAACTTTTCAACTTTTAAAGGGAAAATCTATTACTTTTTATCCTGGGCCCTATTTTATTCTCTGTAGTTTAGGGTCTCATTGACTCAGTGCTCAGATTTATTTAGCCTATGGTTGTGAATCAGGCTGTAATGGTTGCAATATAATCCCTGCAAAGGGTGTCCACTGAAAGTTGTTGTTTGTGTCCCTGACGGCTCAGATTGTTCGTCCAAGTGTCTGAAGACATTAAAGAAATGATCCCGACAGAGACAGACCTTTTTGTAACAGAGGAAGATGATTTATTTATTTAACCACAAACAGCTGTTACATCACTCTCTAAACACACCAGACTCCATTGATAAAAACAGGTATTTTACCCCAGAACACAGGAGATGATTGTCTGCTGCTACCTTGACCTGTTAGTTTGTTTGGATTATTTTGTGTTTGGAAAGTTTGAATAAAACTTACTGCTTTTGTTACAAAAGATCATAAAACAAAGAGATTTTTGTCTAAATGTTTTTCCTTCAAACTCTGATAAAGAAATAGATTTAAATGTTGGACTCGTTAAACTTAAATGTTAATGTTGTTATTTTTTACAGCTACAATTTGTTACAGCAAACACACACACACAAACAAACACACACACACACACACACACACATCTATTTTATGTCCGACTGTGTCCAAGGTGAAGGCTTTACTGACTGTTGCAACACACACACACACACACACACACACACACACATACACACACACACATACCTACAGCCTACTGCAACACACTGACCAGCTGTTAATATTTGACTGACAACAGATGGTAATCGTAGTGTTGTTATATAAAGCTGCAGTGCTTCTGAACGGCTGATTAATGTGAACTCATTGGTATCACCCAGCAGCCATAACTCATAAATATCTGAACTACTTTACTCAAAGGAAATACTGTTTAAAAAACTGTCTGCAGCCAAGCAAGTCTATTTGTGTTACGTCTAAAACACACCGCTGTATAATCAAATGACATATATTCCCACCTCTCTGCGCTCAGAGTCTTAGAATGAGCATCACGTTACGAACAAAATGTAGTCAAACACACCCAAAATGTACTTTACGCCTCATGCTTTAGACAACATGCTTTACGTCTTCAAATAGGGCTCCATGTCTTAAAGCAAGAGAGAAGTATCAGTGAGGACTTCAAATGTAACATCAAGTTCTCAGTTTTGACAATCTATTTCCCCAAATATGAAACACCACAAAAATGTAAATGTTTGCTTGCAGCAGGTTTAGACAACATGAACACACACATACCGCTGACGAGGTAGAGTCCTGCTTTATTCCACCTGGGAGCCAGTCTTGTGACCAGAGAGTAGGACAGACAGGCCTGCAGGACGCCTGGAAACACACACTGAGGAGAGCCCAGCTACACACACACACACACACACACACACACACACACACACACACACACACACACACATACAATCCACTGGTTTAAAATCTTATATTTGAGTCTGAATCAAAAACTCAAACTCCATTTATTCGTCATTTCTTCCAACCTTCAGACTGCGTCTTCTTCCAAACACCTGCAGGATGCCTTTTTGGTAAAACGGGACCTGCAGAGAAAAGAGACAACATGAGGAAAGAGGAGGCTGTTATTTCAAAGCATTTATTATTCAAAGGTGCTGAATGGATTTGTTCACATCATTTGAACTTAACAGTAATAAAGACTTCCTGAATGTAGACTAATTGTAGACTAATGAAAATGTTTAATGCTGCTACAGTCATGTTTTATATTGAAATAACTGTCTCTCAGGTGCATAAAAATTGCTTTTGAGTAACCAAAAATCTGCCAGTCCAAACAAATCAAATCCCAACATATGGTAGCTGCACATGCTCAGTGCAGCTGTGGCAGGATAAACTGATCAGGTAGGAACATAAATTACAGTGAATGAGAGTAGCGTGAGAAGGAGGCATTATTATGTCACAGAGCTGACAATGAGACTTTTTCTTGTGTGTGTGTGTGTGTGTGTGTGTGTGTGTGCGTAGACAAACACACATGGAATGCTTGGAATTTAGACCAACTATGTTTTGCCTGCGTGTCTGTGCTTGGGAAGTGTCGGCACGCGAACACGTCTCTGAGCCCTGCAGTGGAGGAAATCCTCAGATCTTTAACTACAGTGAATACCAAAAAACAAAAAAAACAGTGTGTTCTACAGGGAGAGGTGAAGATGACGGTATGTAAAGGCTCAGCTGAAACAGTAGTGGTGTAAGACTGAGGAAAATTAAAAAGTTACTTCCATCTGCCAAATGAAACCTCAGGGGATCCATTGATTTGGATTTGTTTCAGTAGGGGAGGGTTGGCTGATTTGATACCTGTGTTTGTAGATGGTTATCATTCTGTATGGAGCATGTTGTATGGAGGTAAATTCCCTCTCATAATTACAAATGTATACATGACTGAATAAATCCATAAATACTACAAGAGAGTAGCTCATGTAGATTAGGTATAGTAGGACTGCATGCCCTGAAAGTTCACCTATCACAGGTGAGTAAAACTCTCTGTGTTTGATGGAGTTCATCCTCCTCCTATTCTCTCGTTGGAGTAGCTTTTTTTTTTGTGACTTTATTTTAAAAGTTGTCTACTTCTAGTCTAATCCAACGGTCAACTTCTTCTTCAGCCGATTAACTTCTGCACACGTCAATTAATGTTATAAGCATCACCACAAGGACTCATTAAGTACTGATGACATTATAGGTATAAATACTTTGTCACACCCCTAGTGTGTGTGTGTGTGTGTGTGTGTGTGTGTGTGTGTGTGTGTGTGTGTGTGTGTGTGTGTGTTTCTTACAGCCATGACCGCTGTTATCTCAGTGAAGGAGTCCAGAGCGGGGGAGGCCACCACATCAGAGTACAGCAGCACCAACTCTCTGTGGACAAACACAGAGAGGTCAAGGGCACAAGCACAGGAATGCTGAGTTCAAGTTCAGGATATAGTCAAACTTGATTTTGTGTTCAACACAGACACGGACAAAGACCAATATCATTCTAAATAATACTAGAGCTGGTTAAACCTCAAGTCAAGCTCTCATCTTTGAATAAACTCTTCCAATGCTTCAAAAGTCCCCTTCAAATCTTCACATCTGTCCAGGACTTTTACACCACATTCACCTCAGTGAAAAATGTTACTTTTCTTTCAAAAGTTTAAATCTATTTCATTCTTTTTTTCCATAATTATGGGCATCATGGGCTATACATATTTGGAACTCTTAACTTATAGTATAGTTAAGTTACAATGGTAACAACTTTTAAGAAATCCCTTCTGTCAAGTCTGTATTTAACCAGAAACAGCTGTTCCATCACTCCCTTCAAAGCCACCAGACTCCTCTGACAAAAAAAGCAATTCTAGCTCACATAGTGAAGGAGTTGTTGGTCTATTGCTGCCTGGATCTGTACGTGCATTTCTGTTATTGTGCTACTTTAATGTTTAGATGGTTAGTTTGGATCCAAAAGAATAATTTTGTACCACAAAACAACAGAAAAAAGATTACATTTAATGTTAACCTGTTAGGCTGATTTCCATTTTAACTCACATATGGTGCTACAATGCTGGATGGCCATACTAAATATGGGCAATTTTCAGATCATAAGTGTTTTGCCATCCGGAAGGAAGGCTTCAGAAAACTGGCCAATCAGAAGAAAGTAGGCACTGGATTGGGGCCTTAAAGAGACAGCAGCTGAAACTAACCATTTCAGGCAGAGGCTGAAATTAGTTTGTTTTTTTCTACTACCGCCAGTATAAGATAAATAAGGGTTATTTTGAGCCACAAATCATGCAACATTATTCTATAGGTTTCACAGTGTGACAACATGAAGGGTCAACATGAGGATAATTTGGGATTGTTAAGCAGTGGTAGAACAGCAACCCCTGTTCTACAAAGTGAAATGACAGTTTTTGAAAGGGGAGTCGGCTGTATTGTAAGCAAAGAAAAGCCTTTGTGTTCCTTTAATTAATTATTTTAGGGCACATGTTAAGAGTTTCCTCCTTTGGCTGTCACCTGCAGGTCTTGATCTGTTTGCTCCTGGGCTCCTCGCCTTCTTCCTCCTGCAGAGTCAGACTGACACAGCAGAGCTTCTTCAGGTCTGGAAGCTCAAGGAAAAACATGGACTGATGTACACCTCCACTGGTCCTGCACCAACACAGAGAGCCATATGTTACACTGACAGATAGTTACAGGTTTTATCAAATAAGATGCTGCCATTTGATCCCGTTCTTTAATAAATACTACTGACTGAAATACTGTGAATATGTTGAATTGACAACTTTGCACTCTTGAGGCTGATAATGGCCATTAAATCTTTATGTTGTTCATGTATTTTTATTTATTTTTTAAACATTACCGTTGTACAATTCATAAAGACCAATAAAAACCTGACAGACACCTGAAGAAAAAAAAATCTACAATAAAATCAGCGAATACATCATTTTAAGTAAAAGCTTTAATAGTGCCTCACTCACCTCTTCATGTCTCTTGACCCCAAAACACTCACAGGTAAGATAAGCTAATTAGACTTACACCTAGATGTACACTAACCCGTGATGAGGTATAATTGATGATAAGAATTTATTTCCTGTCAATTATTCAATGAAAGAAACCGTCTTAAGGAATAATTCATTCATTTTGCCGTTCTATCGAAAAAAATTATCCCGGAGAAGAGAGACGACGTCTCACTCCGTTTCTATTTCCACAAACCCAAACACATACTGTTTCATTATGAGGTAACTACTGTATGATGAATTACACAAAGTTTTGTGTTTTCCTTTTTTGGTATGAAATTTGATTTGATACCTTAATCAATCAATCAATCAATCAATCAATCAAACAAACTTTATTTATATAGCACCTTTCAGACAAATTAAATTGCAGTTCAAAGTGCTTAACAAGAGTGCAGAAAAGTTGTTGACAAAAAGTAGTTTATAAAATCATTGATAAAATCACTGAGAGACTAATGCACAACAAGAATTTAAAAATATGTATAAAAAGAAAATAAAAGAAAATACGACACAGAAAAGCAACAATATATTAAAATAAATACATGAGGGAAATATTTAAAATTGTCGTAGGATAAAAAAGACAATATAGTAATGTTAAGATTTGAATTGATAATGGCACTATATGTTTCTTTAACATGAATGTTATTTTAAAAACTAATTTATGTTTATCAGAGAAAAGTCAAGTTTACACACTTTATTCAGGCCTTGTTTATTGGTCTCCTTACCATAAATTGCTAGATACAAAGTTGTACTTTTGGACATTTACTCCCGTTAATATAACAAGGAACACTTCACATATGTGTATAAGTAGTTTGTTATATTTACAAGTTTGACCCAATATGTTCAGTCTATGGTTTTACCCTGACAGTTACAGTAGGTGTTTTTTTCTCAGTGGAGTGAAAAGTGTGGCAATAGACAATCTCTGATTTGCAGCTCTCCCGCCAATCAAACAAGGAAGGTTTTTTTCAACTCAAAAGTTTTTGTCAATATTATACACGTTTAAGAGTCAACTGTGTATGAAGAGCCCAACAAGACCTCCAGCTGTGGCTGAACAAATGTGCAAAAAAGGGCAATTAAATCCGTGTTGCGTGAAATACGTGACACGCCAGGGAGGTCCTTGCGTGAGAAGCTTGTTCCTTGAAAGTTGCTGAACTGAAGTGAACTTTAGCCTTGTCCTCGCCCACAACTTTCTCATGATTGACGGAGTGAGGACCAATCAGAGAGTCGCTATTATACGCATGAACCAGAACGACCAATAGGAGCATTAGAAGGACGGTGTGGGCGGTCTCAGTCGGTTTGCGGGGAAAACTTGAGGCGCCGTGAAAAGTCCAGAAATAAAGGCACATTAACCGGATATCTTCTTTCAAAATAAAACCAAAACTGGCGTTTGGACAGAAACGTTTGTCGTTTAAAAGGTTACAAAGTTCAAAAGTTACACCTTCAAAAGAAATGTTTCTCATTCCAAATATCAGCTTTGTTTTTTTGTTTTTTTTAATTTCCCTTGCCCTAATAATATATAAGTAAATTTCATGTTTGTATTTTATTTTTTCTTAAAGTTCAAATGTAAGGCTGATTGAATAAAAAACAATCAAATTGAAAATAATTTAATGCAAACAGCTTTTAAGTCATCTTGTCATCTTAATTGTTTCAAGTCGCCTATTGAGACACAAATATGTGAGAAAATGGAATACATTTCATAAAGGCATTAGTCTTTACTTTTTTTTACATCTTATTCTTAAATTCTTATTAGCTTGGAATTGATATGCATACTAAAATATTCATA